CTTCCGAATATTTATTTATGACTTAAATTCTGTCCAAATCTCCTTCTCCTACTGTCCACTTCTAACCCGTTAACAAGAGTTCTACCTGCAAAGTACTCCTGGAACCCACTTCTCTCAATTCCCTCTGCAGTTACACCACAGGGTAACCCCAACCCCCTCACTCACCCTCTCACCCCCTCAACTACCCACGCTGTCCGGGTGCCCTTTCCAATCTCCATGCTGCTTCAGGGGCGAGCTCTTAAAAATGCAAATCAGGTCGTGTTTCTCTCCGTCTTAAAACTCTTCACATGGTTCCTATTCCTCTAAGGTAACAGTCCCAGCTCCTTGCCTGGCTCCAGCAGACCTCTAGGCTCACAGCCTCCCTGAGCCGGCGGCCACGTCCGTGCTGAGGTCCACCCTGCTTCAGCGCTGTCACCTGCTTTGCACTCCCGGAGCCCCCATCTCCCAGTTTCCCCTTGGGAGCCTCAGGTCTCAGTCTGAGTGTCACTTCCTCCCCATGCTGTCCCTGTTGCCATGACAGGCTAAATACCCCTGTTGAACATTTCCACAGCACCGAGGTTACATAACTAGCTGTGATTTTAAACATTCAGTTTTTAGACACAGTCATTCGAGTTACCTCATGGATGTCATGTTGACTAAGATAGATTCATAGCTACCAGGACAAACCCCAGCATGGCTGGGAAATGAACTTTAGCCGTTAAACCAATGATAGCTGAGGGCTACTGCCCAGCCAGAGAGCTATGGGGATCCCTATTAGTCCCACAGAAGATGGAAATTACACAGTCAATAACAGCACAGTCTGATTTCGCAGCCATATAACGACCTAGGCTTCATGTCCTCAAAAAGTTCTGAAAGTCTTATGCTAAATCCCCAGGGAAAGGCTGAATCTACATAATGCCAAAACCATCAGTTGAACGGTTGAAATTTTGGTCAATGTAGTTATTTGAGTTCATAAAAATCTAAACACTCTGTCATATGGGCAAATTAAACTAAAATAAAAAAATCTGAATTCCAGTTAAAACCTTTTGGGTATATGGATACGTGTGATTCAGGATGCTGCTTATACTTAAAAAAATAATAACTTTCCTTGTTACATGTCGGCCTTAAGGCATTCCTGCCAAAGTTATTAAATGCATGCCATAAAACATACATGACCACGTTAATGCTGCTGTAGGAACCTTATCTTTGGAATTTCCTGACATTTGAGGGTTTCTCATTTTCCATTTTAGGATTGAAGGCCTAAGTCCTTGCATTTAATTTCCTGGGGCTTTAGAGAAATGAAGACAGAAGAGAGAAGAAAGGGAAGAAAGAAGGGAAGGAGAAAAGGAGGAAGGGAGGAGAAAAGAGAGAAGGGAAGAAAGGGGGGTGGAAGTAAGAAGAGAGAAAGAAAAATACATTTTTTTTCAAAATGAGTATCTGAGTTCCCTGGTTTGGCTGTTGCTGAGGTGGACTCATCAGCCTATGCAAAGAAGCTGAACACACTCTCTAACGCATACACAGCCTGGCTGTGTAACTCTAAACCTTCATAACCTCAAAATCCTTAATCATTTCTTTCTTCAATCTTGGCTTGGCTTTCCTGCCTCAGAGAGGGCGGTAAGTGGGCCAAATTCAGAGCTGAGCCTTTTCTTTCTTTTTTTTTTTAGAGATAGGACCAGAGTAAAGAGCTCACTTTATTTTTTAAGAGCAGAAAGTGAACATCTTGCCCTAATCACCCTCCATTGTATTATTTTAAACAAAACAAAAAAATCCAAAGCCAAAATTCTTAAAACACAGCTGATGCAACCATATGCAAACTGGCCAAGAAAAATTTCATCTTTGGACTGAAACTAAGTAACTTTAGCTGGTTTTAAAGAAAATGCTGAAAGACTGAAAAGGGCAGATGGTAGCAAAGAGAGAAAAGGTAATGGGAATAACTGTTCACCAGGTTGATCTGTCTGCCCAGTGGTGACACAGATGGAGGACTCCAAGTTCCCAGAATCAACCTGCCCCTGGGAGAGTGGGGCTCTTTGGAGGAACAGCCCAGAAAGGGTGTAGAAGAGCTGCAGTTAGGAAGCACTGGGGACAGGAGCAAAAAGCCACTGGAGTATGTAGGGCCCTGGGCTTGGCACTTGTTTGGGAAAGGATGTAAGACTGGAGATGGATTCAAACTTTTTCAGAACGTGAGGAGGGAATTCTCTAAATTCTTCTATAGATCTTGCTGATACCAAAGCCTGGTAAAGATAGTACAATAAATACCAAGTATAGATGAATCCCATTTATGGAATACTGAGACAAAAATCTTAAAATATCAGCTAACAGAATTTAGTAGGACATTAAAAGAATAATAAATCAGGACCAAATGGGAGTTCATTCCAAAAATGTAAGAATGGGTTAATATTAGGGTAGAAAGTCACTATTAATAGGTCAAAGGAGAACCATAGGATTGTATCAAGTTGCTGAAAAGTAATTTGACAAAATCTAATATCCAACCCTAATTTTTAAAACTCTTAGTAAAATAAGAAATATAAATGAACACTACCTTGATAACAAAAAAATGTATCTCAAACAAGAGGGCTTAAGAGTGAGGCACAGAAACATTACCATTAAAGTCAGGGGTGAGATAAGGCTGCCCAAGGCTCTCAGCACTATTATTTAATACTGCTTTGAAAGTATTATCCAGTGCAACTCGGTAAGAGAAAGAATTAAAAGGTATAGGGGCCAGCTGAGTAGTTTGTTGGTTAAGAGTTGGGTTGGGAATGCGAGCTCTGAGCAACAGGGTCGCCGGTTTGATTCTCACATGGGCCAGTGACACTGCACTTTCTACAGCTAAGATGGTGAACAACAGCTCGACCTGGAGCTGGGCTGCTGTGAGTTGCTGGTGACAGCATAGGCTGCAGTGGGGCTGCAGTGGGCTGCTGTGAGCCGCTGTGAGCGGCTGTCCAATGGCCAGCGACCGATCTGCCTCAGCTGGGAAGAGTGCAATGATCACAATACCAACATGGGCAGTGAAGCGACGTCCTCCACAACTAGACTGAAGAACACAAGGACAGCAACTTGTCTGTTCCCCTCCCCCAATTCCCCAATAAAATCTTGAAAAAAGAATTAGAAGGTATAAATTAAAAAGAAAAAGACAGTATGATTATATAAATAAAAATTACAAGAAAATCAACTAACTATTAGAAACAATGAGAAATTTCTTTAAGGTGTCTTTTAAAAGAATAAGATACAAAAACAAATAGTTTTCTTAAATACAAAGACCATACAATGAGAAAAAAGATGACATTAACAATGGCAACAAAAGATAAAATACTTAGGGATAAATTTAGCAAATGCATAGAATTCCAATTAAAATACTAACATATATTCTGTGTGTGTGAAATTTGCTAGTGATATACAGAACATTTAGAAAACTATATGCAAGCACAGTCAAGACATTTTTTTAAGACACTTTTGAAAAAGGACAATAATAGGCCAGCCGAGTGGCCCAGTTGGTTAAGAGCTCACTCAAGAGTTAGAGCTCTGAACAACAACGGTTCGATTCCCGGCCCAAGCTGAGCTGCCGCTGAGCTGCCAATAGGTGGCAGGATGGCTCAGCTTAAAAAAAAAAGGAGAATAATAAGGAAATAAAAGGTTTATAATTATTAGAAAGGAGACCAAATGGTCATATTTTTTCACATGACTTGATAGTATACAGGATGTCCAAGAGAACCAACTGACTATTAGTAACAATAAAGCATTTTTGTAAGGTCAACTAGATATTAAAACATATTTTGAGGTTAAAATAATGAAAACAATTTGGTATTGGAAAAGAAATGGATACCCTAATTAATTAAACAAAAGAGAGCCTGAAAAAAACCCCAAACCAGTTGACATTTATTCAGCATTTACTATATCCCAGGCTCTGTTCTGACTTATCGTTTATACATATTTACTCATCTAATCTTCACAACAAACCTATGTGGTTACTATAATTATCACCATTTTACAGATAAGTAAAATTAGGGCAAGACAAATTGAGGAGCTTGTCCAATGTCACACAGCTAGTAAGTAGCAGATGCAGTAAGTACTCTGGCTCTAGAGTGTTTAATGCTACATACTACTCATCACAGAATTATTTGTAAACTGGAAGCAACCTAAGTGTCCATCAGTAGGGGAATAGCTAAATAAAATGTGATTTATCCACATGATGTACAGAATGTTAAAAAAATGAAGGTGGGGGAAAAAAGGAAAGTGGTAACATTGACTGAAACATTTAATGATATCCCAAGTAAAAAAAGAAAAGAGTATATATATATATATATATATATATATATATAGCATGATTCAATTTTTAAAAGAATATAATTTTTATATACTATAAATATACATATATACAATTCTAGAATATAGAAACCTTTTTACCCTGGAAGAGAACATCAGAAATTATGTTCTTTGCAGCCAAAAGACTCCTACCTGATAGACTATGGTGAGTGGGGGAGGGACATGGTCTAAGTTCTATTTCTAAAAGGTTCCCCTGCCTGCTGAAGGAGAAATATACTGGATGGATACAAGATGACTAAGGTGGGAGCAGTGGATGAGATGCAACAGATTCAAGACAACATTTAAAACTAGAACCCAAGGACTTGCTGAGGAATTAGATGAGAATGTGTGAAAAAAAGAGAGGAATCAGAAATGGCCCCTAGATTTTTTGGCCTAAGCAAAATGAAGGGTGATGTCATTTAACAAGATGGAAATTCTTTTGAGAGGAGATGGTTAGTGGTGGCCTGGATTGAGAATTTAGCTTTGGACATGTTAAGTCCAAACTATTAGGTAACCAAGTGGCGACCCAAGCAGGAGATGACTATACAAACCCGAAGCATCGGTTACCACGTTCCCAGGTTGAATCAGTAAACTATCTTAAGCTACGAACAGTCTCGCGTAACCACAAGAACCATCAGTTTACTGACGACCAATCATTAGACTGAGAACAGACAGCTGTGATGCGGCATACACCGCGGAAGCAGGCAGTAGCCGTCACCTACCTGTGGTCCGCACTGGGCCTCGGCCTCCCGTTCCATAGTCTTCTGTTCACAGAGGAGGGTGGAGGAGAGGAAGGCAGGGGCGGGGGAGGCAGAGAGGGCAGAGGAGGCAGGTTCCTTCTATCTTTCCCCAAGCTGATGCCTGCTTTCCCATCCTTGTCCCCTTCTCCATCGTGTTTGAACGTCCTCCGTGGTTTGGGCAGGGGGTTGATGAAGGGTTTTGAGGGGAAGGCCCTGTACACACTCTCCGGGCTCTGGTCCCAGGGCCGCCCGCACGAGCCTCGCCTCCCCTCCGAAGGCCCAAGGGCAGGATCCCTGGCTTCCAGGTCCAAGTGGGGGGGCCTGGCTTCGGAGCCACTCACGCCCCCATGGCTCTCCATGAGGGTGGACCCGTCCTCGGCCCTGTCCGGCAGGCAGTGTGGGGAGTAACATGTCCCTGGTAACTGGGGATCCAGCCCCGCTGACCCATCCTTCAGAGCCTGCTCGAGTTTCTTGACCTGCTTCAGCACAGACAGGCTGTCGTTCTGGAAGCGCTGTTTGCCAAGCCTCGGCTCCCGACCTCTGCCCGAGCTGGGCGCCAGCTCCCCGGCTGGCTGGCTTAGGTCTGGCCTCCTCCCTGCGCCCTGTCCCCCGACTTCCACCGCCCTTTTATTCCTCTCGTTCTCTTTGCTCTCTGTTTCCAGCCTCGTTCCATTCTGAGTCTCCGTGGCCCGAGTCCTCACACCATCACTACTTCTCCGCTTCGTCACACAGGACGGCAGGTAATCCTCTTGCCCGTCTGCTTTCCGGCCAGGTGCAGGAGTGGGCGCCTCCCTTTTCCCTTCCCATTCTGATATCTTGTCCTTGATGCTGAGGGACGCCTGCCGGGCTCCGCCTCGGGCAGGGGGGCAGGAGTCCTGAAGGCCGCTGAGCTGCCTCCTGCCAGCCCTGCTGGCTTCTTTGGCACCGAGCTGTGAGGCGGGGTCGCTGATGATCAGATTAGAGCTCAACATGTTCTGGTGACAACAGTCAACTCTTGTGTGGAACATCAGGTTATTGAGGCTTCCCAGCGGGCTCCTGCGGAGGGCTGAATCCTGATCCGTCTCTAGGAAAGGAACGGAAGAGCTAAACGGCTGCCTTCGAGGGTCTTCCCCGGCCTTTGGACCTTCCACCTTGACCCTGAACAAGAAAGACATACACCGGGTGAGGGATTCTTGGTTACTGTTCTTGGCTGATCATAGAGATTTGCTAGAACTTAGATATAAATATTACAAGCTATTTGCAAATCACATACACTGAAACCACAATGTAAAAAATCACTTAATGTTCTTTTTGGAAAAACAGCATGGTGGAATGAAAGGAGCTATTGGATTTTGGCGTTTAGTAGACTTGGGTTTAAATCCTAATCCAACCACTGACCAGCTTTGTGACCTTGGGCAAGTTGCTTAACTACTCTAAATTTCAGTTTTCTCATCCGTGAAATGGGAATAATAATAATAATGATACATGTCAGACAGGGTGACTATAAACACTTGATGAGCCAGCCCACATAAAGCATCTAGCATGTCATGAGTGTCCAAGAAGTGGTTATCATTATTGTTGGCTTTTTCCCTGATGAAAATAGGAGAAATGTCATGAGATAAAAGATTACATGATTGAAGTTTCCTCTGCTTCTGTAATCAATGGATGGACCTTTATAATGACTAGAAATTAAATCAGTGCCGTAAGTCATGAAGTTTTTGCTAATTCTGGGCTTGATAAGTTGTCCTGATTTGAGTGGGCAAAGACACAGTGATGGGCTGGACTTGAATTGAATGTCCTTAGGACTGTGAGCCCTACTAGACCGGCCTCTCCCTGAGGACAGGGATTGTTTTGTTTTCGTTTGAATTTGGCCTGTTGTGGCTACTGCTGCATCCCTAGCACCTGGAACCTTACCTGGCAGAGTAAATCTTTGTTGCATGAACGAATGAGTGAATCTACAAGGGGATGCAATTTCATGTGTGGCCTAGACCTGTACTGTTCAACAGAGTGGCCACTAGCCATATGTGGCTATTTAAATGAAATCAAATTAAATTAAGGCTTCAGTCTCTCATTGCAGCAGCCACATGTCAAGTCCTCCGTAGCCACATGTGGCCAACGGAGCTGTCCCATCATTGCAGGAAGTTCTGGCTTAGAAGGTACGTGTGGGGATATGTGCCTCCAAGTGCAACTCCAGGAGATTAGTTCATACCATGACGATGCTAACAATTATTTTTAAAAGAAAAACAGAAAAACATTTTTAAGCTAGTCTAAAGCGAATGGGAGTATCTCATGTTTTGAAATGTAACACTTTTTTCCACCAGCACAGGTCATGACTGAATACGAGTGACCTTAAATGTACCAAGATTAGCAAACAGGCATGGACCAGGTTCACGGTGCAGGTTTTCTAAATATATAGATCTGACAATAGAGGAACTGAAACTCCGGTTAAGGTTCCCACAATTCATGCATCCTGTTACAATTTAGCTTTCTATTCCAAACGTAGATTGTGTTGCTGTTCTTGGTTGCTCGGCATAAATTAGAAACTTGTGAAATTGCAAACACATTTTCATATGTTAAATATGGCTACCAAAGCAGAATTCCTTGTTTAAATAAACAATTAGCATTCTTAACAGGGCTCTTACAGAAAAAGAAAAACAAAAAACACATTTTTTAATTGTCCTGTCACCACTGAGGACATTAGCTGAATTCAGATTTTAGTCAGTGTCGGAATCAGAATTAATTTGTTGATATTTTACTGAGAGTTCAGAAGGCAGAAGTTAAAGTCTTTGCTTCGATGGTACTAGCAGCAAGATGACGAGAGAACAGAGACATAAAAATGCTGTTCAGGTTTAGTTTAGTGACAAATGCTAATATAACATATAACCATTAATATCATAGGTGCTGTTAAACAAGTGACAGTAGGTAAATACATGGTTTTAGAGTCAGAGGGACCTGGCTTCATTTTTTTCTTTTTTCCATCTTAAAATAAGATCCCTATCTCCTTTCTCTAAACAGGACCTTTAGGAGTACAGAGACCTCATTCATCTTGTTAGCTGTGCCCAGTACTTAATAGGTAGTCATTAAATATCTATTAAATGAATAAATGGATGAGTTAATGTATATAATGAGCCAAGACGACAGCATACATTAAAAGTCTTGATATTGATAAGTGGTAACTGGTGTCACTGTAACGATTACAGTCGTTGTCCAAGAGTCCAAACATCTGGCTTGACTTCACAATCACTGAGGTCCTATCTAAAAACCCAAGAGCAGGGCCAGCCAAGTGGCGCTTTGGTTAATAGTTGGCTTGGGACGCCAGCTCTGAGCAGCAGGGCCCCTGTTCGGATCCCACATTAGGGCCAGTGACACTGCCCTCTATAGCTAAGATGGTGAACAACAGCTCGACCTGGAGCTGGGCTGCCGAGAAGTGCTGGTATCAGCATAGGCTGCAGTGGGGCTGGCCAGCAGCGGGGGTGCGCTTTCATGAGCCACCATGAGCAGCCATCCAATGGCCGGCAAGCGACTGCCTCAGCCGGGAAAGTGTAATGATAATACCAACATGGGCCAGTGAAGCGACATCCTTCACAACTAGACTGAAGAAGAAAAGGACAGCAACTTGTCTGTTCCCCTTCTCTGATTCCCCAATGCTGTTCCCCCCCAATTCCCCAATAAAATCTTAAAAAAACAACAAAAAAAACCCCCAAGAGCAAAAAGGATGGCTCGCTGGAAGACCACGCTGGATTGACAAAGCTCAAGCAAGAGCGGCAAGGATGATGACACCAAGGGCGGTGCTTTCTCCACGTGGTGCTGCACCCCAAACCCCAAAATTTCTCGCGTTCCTGTTTCCAGGATTCTGTGGCCCCGGAAGAGGCTCTGAACTGGGTCCCACAGCTATGAACAGCTCAGTCGTCGCCACTGCCCCCAGAAAGTGAGGGAGTGAGTATATCAGAGGGAAACATCTGGGGAGAAAACAGCCCTGCTCATGCGAGATGGGTAACGCTGGGAATGTGGACAGATGCCACTGCAAAGGTTCAGGCCTCACTGATAATTAAAAGACCCACATACCCTGGTCGTTAGAAAAATAAACCCTGGACTGAAATGCACCAATGGGGACACTGCTGGAAGCGGCCCTGGCAGGTTCTCAACCCTGGGCACAGGGCAGACCCTCCCTTAACCACTTTGGTGTCAGGTTCCTAATGAGCGCAGCCCATGGAGATGATACAGGGGGCGCACCACAGTGACCCGGAAAAGAAATGCCGCCTGAGTTCAAGGCAGTGGGGCTAGTGAGGAGGGAAGGAAAGAGAATGAGGATCTGGGCCAACTGCTCCACTCTCGGGGGAGAAGAGTTCTTACTTGTCAGCCAATTTGTAGCTTGGGTTTTCAGTCTGGCTGTGTCTGCCGCTGGCCAGCCTGCACATTGTCATCATGTCAGCACGGAGAGGCGCTCCAAGTTGTCTGGGGGGACAGGGATGACATTCAGTGAGCCTTGACAGCCGATCTAGGGTCCACACCCCAAGCTGTTTACCCTGGATGGACCACATCCAGGAGTGGAGGGGGTGGGGGGGTAACAGGACTGCACCATTCAGAATCCCTGACCCAGGAGGTGGGCATCGGCACAGAATCCTGAGGTCCACCCAGGCTCAGGCCCCATGCCAAACCTCTTCTCGTGTGTGTGCGCGCGCGCGTGTGTGTGTGTGTGTGTGTGTATTAGATAAGAGTCACCAAACATTTTCAGAAAACACATAACCTTAGAAAGCAAAACAACCAGCTCGAAATGGAGGACTCACTCACTTAAAACAAACTGAAGTCACCTTTACCTAACGTTGCCTTGTTAAGTGGTTCTGCAGGTTGTGAACCCTCTGTAGTTATAGATATCTTTGTCTCTAATTGCCTGGCTGAAAGTAGGTTTAATAAATGTATTTGGCTTCTACAGAAAAAAAAAAAAGAAAAACAAATACCAGCGTAACCCACTAATTTTTCAGAAACTCTGAGAACCTATGATGAGTTAACAGCCACCACAGAAGAGTTGAGCTGTTATTTTATTTGAAACAAGAAATAAACCACCCACCAAAGTGTTAATATCGACACAGAGGTACTCTCCTGCTGGCTCCCATGGCGGGCATATGCCCACAGTCGTTGGCTTGGGTGGGGCAAGGAGAGACCCTTCAGGCGGCTCCAAACCCAAGAGGAGGAACTGCCTAGCCAGTAGGTCATTTGTCAGGTCCAAGGAAAGGTAGGAGATGGTCCCAGCAAACCCAGGAATCCCACTGAGCATCTCAAACCTGAAAGATGACAAGGACCATGTGGATACCGAAGCGGCAGACTCAGTACAGAAATAGTTTTTCAATACTCCAGTGTCTGACATCGGAATGAACTGAAGTAGCTGACTGAGACGTGTTATTTCAATAGCAAGTCCCTACAGTCATCGGTGTCTTTCAACGTGAGGACAAACGGACACTGCACAGGTGGATGTGGCGAGAAAGATGAGGCCTATCGGAAAATGCCAACAAAAAAAGAACGAAAGAAAACAGTAAAAAAAAAAGGAAAACAAATTTTGAAAAAAGAAAATGCTTACAGGATGGGCCATGCTATTTTGTATGAACACCGCACTATTGGTCCCTCCTGATGGAGAGGAGGTGATAGAGGTTCAAGGAGTATTGAGATAGTGGAGATTCATGTTTCTTTTCCATAAACCTCCAGGGAATCCCTCTCCCAACTCCTCGTTTCCAAGATTCCTATTTCCTCTCCCAGGATGGTTCACCTGCCAGGTGACAGGGTGGCTGTCCAAGGTCCTGGCCTGGGCATCACCTCCCTCCTAGAAATCAAAGGACTGGGCTTTAAGACATGCATCTAATTCTTGGGGACGAGGAGAGGGAGGTCAGAGGGAGAAAGAGAAAATAAGGAAAAATTAAAAAGTGGGAGGTTTCTTTCCCTTCCTTTCAAGGAAGGGAACACACAGGTCCCAGAAAGTGTGTGTGTTTGGGGAGGGATGGAGCTCAGCTGTCCCCTTACCCAGCAAGGCAGCGCCCTACATCTGGGGGATGTCAATGCTGAAAGCAAGCCCAGTTCTTTACAGAAGCCAGGCTCCTGGGCTCTCCCTTCCCTGAAAGGCCTTTCAGGGACAGGAAGGAACTCAGTGGCCCTCTCACTATGCTTCACAAAGCTTCTGGGGCCTCTCCGATGGGTGGGGCTGACAAGACACTGCTCTTCTGTCCCGCATCTGCAGAGGCCCCAGCGGAGGTCAAGGACAGCGGCCGGCCACCGCCTGCACTGAGCCTCCGCATGGACAAAGCCCACTGTGAGGCTGCCTCGTTCCGCGTGAGCAGCAACTCTCTCCACCCACGCTCTTCTTCCAAGCCGGCGTCCTCTTCCACAGCCACTAGGAATGGGTGCCAGAACCTGTCCACGATGCTCTGGGGCTTCAAAGATGTCTGCCCTCAGGGACAGTACCCGGGGCCATGCCTGGGTCACGATCAGTCCTGCAATCTAGCACCCTCCCCATGGGAACAGTTGCCCTATACTTCACAGGAAGACATAGCTTCTCCAAAAGGGACAAAGTCTAACACACAGAGAACAATGTCCATGCGCTGTGAAGTTAAAGATCCCAAGGGAACACTTACACAACACGGTATTAAGTGAACTTGCTTCCCATCGGGCAGCAAGGATTTCTAGTATTAAAACCACGGTCTCTAGAAAAACAGCTGATACTATAGTCTGAGAAGCAAGTTCAAGTGGGATTCAGGGGATGAAACTGAAGGAGCACAGAGGCCCACACACTCAGCAATCAGCCCGCCAGCATTTCTGAATTCACAGAGGAATGGCAAATGCTGCTCCTCCAAAACTTTGACCTTTCCCTTTGTGTTTCTGATGTTAAAAGTCATTAATTAGGTGACAAGCCTAGCCCAATTTGCTCATTGGGAATACTCTGTGATTTAAATTACCATAATGATGGTAATTTATAGGTCTGGGTTGCAAGATGGAGCTGTTTCCCAATGGCAAAGACCTTCTTCCTGTTAACGCTGGTGGGGTTTTCATGGTGACAACCTGGCGAGGTGATACACGGTCTACGGAAAGTTTGCTATCAAAGTCACTGACAAAAAGAACTTTGGATCTTATTACTTTAGAGACTGCTAGAAAAACAATCTAGACATGTTTAAGCCATGGGGAAAGGGGCTGATTTTCCCCAAATCTTAAAATGAAAACAGTGATTTAAATAAAAAGTAAAATCTGGACATGTTAAGTGGATCAGCTGATAAGTGGATTTTTCTAATGTGGTCTATCCATACAATGGAATATTATTCAGCCATGAAAAGGAATGAAGTACTGACACCTGCTACAACATGGGTGACCTTGAAAATATACTAAGTGAAAAAGCCAGACACAAAAGGCCACATATTGTATGATTCCATACATACAAAATGTCCAGAACAGGCAAACCCATAATGGGAGGGGGAATTGGGATTGATTGCTCACAGGTAAGGGTTTGTTTTGGGGATGATAGAGGTGTTCTGGAATTAGATAATGGTGATAGTTGTACAACATAGTGGATATACTACAAGTCACTAACTTGTACATGTGTAAATGGTGAATTTTATGTGAATTATATCTCAATTAAAAATACATTAGAAGCATATTCAATTAAAAAAATAAGAAATTGGGGCCGGGGAGGAGGTGGAGTGAGGACTAAAACATACACAATTATAATTTTCCAGTGCCCTTTACTGCTCTAAGGTTAGTATGTTAGTTCTGAAACATAGGCAAATATATGTTATATATAACTTGATTCATAAAACGGTCATACTTGATATACTGAATGAAAAAATACAACTTAGTTAGCTCAGGTGGTTAGAGCACAGGCTCATAACACCAAGGTTACCAGTTCAATTCCCACATGGGCCAAGGAGCTGCGCCCCCCACAACTAGATTAAAGACAACTAATTGATTTGGAGCTGATGGGTCCTGGAAAAACACACTGTTCCCTAATAAAGTAAAAAAAAATACAACTTAGACAATAAATGATTACTTACATACAAATAAAATTAATTTTTAAATGATTTTTATTTGTGTTGCAAATAAAGCTACAAGCTGTTCAGCTTTAGTGATTCTAATAACTCTTATAAAGAGCAAGCAACAAAACTGAAAACAAACCATAACAATTGCAGTAGAACAAAAACAGTTATTTTCTCAGCTGAGCATTGTTATTGGCAAACATGTGCAGAAGGTGTTTGTTTTCAGAAAACACGATGAGGAAGACAAAGGACGCATGCGATCACACAATGCGACTCTTCCTGAGTCTGTTTAATGAAGCTCACCCCTGAGCCTTTTCTTTTTTTTTTAGGTTGCAGAAAAAGGACAGTTTATTAGAAGAAAACTACATTTCAAAGAAGCAGAAGCGGGCCCGAGCAGTAGCGAATGGCTCAAGGGCCATTATTAGAAGAGAAAGTACACTCCAGAGAGTTTGGAGCGGGCCGAGCAAAAGCAGCTCAGAAAGCCACTCCTGAGCCTTTTGATGCTTCATTTGTATCCTCTTCAAACAAAAAAAACCTTTTTAAAAAATTGAAATGGACTGCTCTCTTTTGTTTTACATAATAGCTTTATATTTTGGAGGATTTTCAAAAACAAACCAACTTTTTCACATTTGGAAGAAGATGGAGGACTCTGAGGCGGTATGGGAACGAGAGAAGCCACAGGCTATGCTGCCTCAGAATCACCCCTAGGGGACCATGTTTGGGAAAATCGCTGCCTGCGCTCTTGGACCAAATGCTTAAACCATGCCTGACCCGAAACACTACACACCACGACCAGACACCACACCTGGTAAGAACAGTGGCAGAGCCAAGGGAGTGACTTTTTTGCTAACCACCCAAGTCTTCCTCTTTCTAGTTCTGCTTTTGAGCTGGGAAGATTTCCCCCCATTGAATAACAGTGTTCAAGGAGTGTTTGATGAACGAACAAACACATTACCATCTTCTTATACCTAACATGTCCATCAACAGGTGGCTGCATAAACTAACTGTGGTCTGGCCACACAACAGCATTATTCAGCTATAAAAAGGAATGAAGGACGTGTAGATACTACAGCATGGGTGAACCTTGAAAACATCACGTTAAGTGAAAGAAACCAGTGACAAACGACCAGACACTGTATCCCATTTATAGGAAATGTCCAGAATAGGCAAATCCACAGAGATGGAAAGTAGATTAGTGGTTGTCAGGGGTCAGGGGAGAGGGAGTGAGGAGACACTGCTAATAGGTATGGGTTTTGGCTGGGGGATGGGAGTGATGAAAATGTTCTAAAATTAGATAATGGTGAT